TATTTATTAAATTTTAAATGTATATTTATTTCATTTTAAGTACAGCAAGTGTACACTAGTTTAGTCTACAAAGAACAGATCTTATATATAAAAAAATTGAACTTTTTATATTTACAAAATATATCTTGTAATTAGGTGAAGTTGTTAGAAGCTGACAAACGTAATTTAGAGCGTCAAATTGCTGCGAGCAAGACTAGTATTCGAAGTAAGAGTTACGAACGTCCGGAGAAAGCACATATAGAACTCCTGGGCACTAGTTACAGTCTCGACAATTTAGAGCATGAAAATAGAGAACTGAGATTAAAGATACGCAAACTGGAGACCCAATTAGCGGAGAAGGAGGCCGAGCTTATACGCGTGAAATCAACTTACATGCATTCCTCTCATTCGTTATTGGATATGAGTCGAGATAGATGCGGTGAATTAGAACGGATTAGAGCCGCGCAACTGCAAGCCGAGAAATTATTAGAGGCAAGAGAACAGAGCCATCGTCAGCAAGTATCGCGTTTGGAAAATCAGGTATATATTTTATACATATTTATATTACCTCGCATACTTTCAATATTTATATTGCAGTGAATATGCACGTAATATATATCTATCGTCATCTAATGATTATGAATTCATATAAATAAAATGCATATTTTTTTTACAGATACAACTGTTGCGAGAACAACTCAATCAAGAGATAAAGCGCAGGCAATTGTACGTTTTACGGAGCTCACGAGCCGGTAGAGAGATGCAACAATTGCGACAAGCGTTGGGCGACTCTTTGAGAACCGTGTCTCAAGATCCATCGTTGGATGCGGTATTATTGGAGCACGAAGCGCGTAAATTGGACTCTACTCTGACGAGTACTGTTAGCTTACCACCGTCATTAGCTTTACCTGCCCCACCGTCTTACAGATCTAGCACTCCGTCACAACTAAAATAATATAAGAATTGTGGACTGAACTTTCTTTGCAAACTGCCAGTATACATATATCAAGCGTAGTACTTATATATTCCAAGTGCAGTACTTGTATACTACACTTGGATATTTATATCAATATATGAGTACTTACTAAGCCGTATTTCTCGAGAATATGGAATATAATTAACTCTCGTGTATATTGTTGAGTGAGTGCTCGAGCATTGCACATCAAAGTCATTACAAAAAGCATATAAAATCAACAAACTACCGCGATGAATCCATAGCACTTCTTGATAATCATATGATTAGGACAATCGCGGATTTTTCGATAACTATATTTCATTTTATATACAATTTTTACATTGAATATATTGAATTTTTAACGATTTTACTTTATACGAATTTTATGCTTCCAATAATTAACATTACATGGGAGATCCAGGCATATTTCATACAGTTTATTAATACGTGAATGAAATATGTGAAAGTTTTTGTGATATGCGTACATTTTACAAGAGTACTTAGCTAAATTAATAGTAATAATTGCAACTTTGTTTCACTACCTCAATTCTTGTCTACCTATTATAAAGAAATTATTGCATAAAAGTTTAATATTCAACAATTAGTCAACATTAAAAAAAAATCATTCACTATATAATTCATTATTTCATTATAATTCATTTATCTAAAAAATATATATTAACATATGAAATTATTTCTCTTCAAAAAAGGATATCTATTAAAGATATATATTACGTATAAACTATTATTATTTAATATTCTTAACAAAGACTTTACAGTAAATAAGTGTTAACTTAAACTGAGTCGTATACCAGTCCACAATCCGTCCATTGGTATCGTTATCGACCAATTTAAATTTACGAATTTATTTAATTTAGATACTAACACAATATATTTATTCAATTTGTGACAGATATTCGTATTGAGAGAATAAAACGTGTACGAAACGCTGGCGATTCACATAACAAGAAGTGCTTTTGTAAAAGTAGGCGGCGACAGTAAAGAGAAAAGATGCTATGTTTAGTCTCGTTCCGAGACCAAAGTAAATCAGCAAACAAGAGAGCATTGTAGAGATACGCTTTCGATTATCAGATAGATATAAAGTCACTGAGTACATTTACTAACGTAAAATGTACAAACGTAAACGTAGAGAACGGCGTGCTATATAACAAAGAGCGAACTTCAAAAGTATACAGACATAGATGACAGCGAGACGGACTGTGTCTGTTCTTTATTATTGAGAATATAGACATCCAGTCCTGCAAATGTAGCCTAAAATGTAACCTGCCTCGGTTGAGCCGTCTAACGTGTGATATGAAATGACCGAAAGTTTAAGGAAAATATATCATATATTTTATCTTCGTCTGTGGCGCAAAATTTGCCCGGATGAGAAATTTCGAAGAAAATTATGGTTGTTAAAGAGGAAATTTTAAGTTGGCTCGATTATTCGTAATAATTATCCGTCCGTTACAGAAATCTAATTTAATACTGAAAAATCGTCATTTTAATTACTTATTTTGAATATTGAAAGCATGGAATTACAATACTTTTAATAGCCAAAATAAATAGTTAATCACTATCTTCCAGTATTAAAATTTTATAAAAAGTGATGAGGAAATCTTAGAAGTTTAACACTGGAGGATAGTGTGTATTATAATTACTTATTTGGAGATTTTAAAAGCATTGTTATTCAATGCTTTTAATACCTAAAATAAGTAATTTTCAATATTAAATTGACCAGTATTAAATTAAATTTCTGCAAGAGAAAAGCGATCCTCTTGAAGAAATCTATTTCTTTTTTTTTTTAATCAAATGTATCGCATCTCGAATTTATCAAACATCGTCATTATAATATACTGATCTTGCGAATGTATTTTCACGCTGCGTTTAATTAAAACGCCAGAGAGTTTATTAAAAAAGGATGCTTTTTTTAGATACAAGAAGTCATGTAGGAATATTATATGTATGTTGTATATCGTTAAATCGTGTTTTATATTCACGTTCACATTTTTAGAAATATATATACATATATATAGTACAGCAAATTTTGAAAATATCATTGTTATGACATTAAGTTATATATTTGAAATTAAATATCACTCACCACTACTGCGCGTTCCAAATGTCTTTTCTTTCCACGTAATCACCTGCCATCTTAGCATAAGAAAAAAAGGTGTTTTATATTCACATCCATGTTTCTACATACACATAGTGCAGCAAATCTTAAAAATATCATCGATGTAACATTAATATGGTTCGTTCTGGGAGACGCTATTAGCGCTACTTCTGTCGTTCTATCTTTGTTGTTTATTAAACGTAAAACAAGGATAGAATGACACAATTAAAACACAATTAAATAGCGCTAATAGCGTGTTTCCGAACCATTTCCATCTTAAATTATATATTAATTGATATTAAATATCACTTACCAACTATCGCGCGTTCCAATAGGCTTTCCTCTGTACGTATAGCTACCCTCATTGCCATCTTCACGCAAAAAAAATTATATTTTATATTAATGTTCACATTTAAAAAAATATATCTATAAATATAGTACAACAAATTTTGAAAATATTCTTATGATATTAAGTTATATATTTAAAATTAAATATCACTCACTGATATGCTGCTGCGCGTTTCAATTGTCTTTCTTCTCCACGTAGCATTCCCCCATTGCCACGCATTTTTTGTGTGCGACGTAGCGCACGATTGTATTTCACGATTATTGCACAATTCTTTACTAGGACGATGTTAAAATTAATCAGAGTTAATTACTTCTTGCCAAAATTGTCGAAAATTGCGACGTTTCGCACTTCCGACGCGCGCTTTTTTATGTCATGATAGAACAAGGCGAAAGATACGTCATCATACACAACATGGCGAAATGCGACATTAGCGACATCACGCACCTGGATCACTCATCACAATTAGACGCAATGGACAAATGCATAGTGAAATTGGACAAATGACGGAGAAGTTAGAAAATTAACTTTGACCAATCAGAATGAAAGTAATGTCTGTCCATATGCGGTCCAAAATAATTTCGTCTCGATTGAATGACTGCGTTCGGGGAGCGCGCTATCAGCGCTATTTGTGTCATGCTATCCTTGTTTCATGTCTAGTGGACGATGAAGATAGAATGTAAAGTCACTAGATTTCTAAAGTAGCGCAATTGATTTCAGAAATGTTGCGTCAAAATGGCCGAAGTGCACATAGTACACGATTCCAAGATTGATGGTTGGGTGATTCATCTTTTAAACTGTACTTACATGTCCCTTCGTGCACTAAACTTCTACAACACCTCTTAGGGTGAAATCACACGGTGCGGAAAAAGACTGCGGAATAGAGAATGCTTCATTGAAGCAACCAATCAACGCTATTCAGCGCTATTCGGAATAGCGCTGATTGGTTGCTTAAATGACGCATTCTCTATTCCGCAGTCTTTTTCCGCACCGTGTGATTTCACCCTTAGGCTTTCTTTCTCTTTTTTCCTCCTGGAGAAAAAAGGAAAAAAAGATGAACTGGTGCAAAAGTTCAGCCAAAAAGAACAGACCTATAGATGCGAGTTGCGGTACTTAAAGCTGGTTCTACATTAGTCGCATCGCAGTATCGCAACCGTTGTGGTCCAATCAGAGTCGAGCTAGATTGACGTTGATTGGACCGCAACGCTCGCGACGCTGCGATGCGACTAATGTAGAACCAGCTTTATGCGGGGTCTACAATAGAAGTCGTAGGATTTAAGTCGTAGAAAATTGACCAATCACAGTCGAATATGAGAAGAATAATCAACTGTGATTGATTAATTTTCTATGACTTAAGACCGCTTCGACTTCTATTGTAGACCCCGCATTATAGATCTAGTGACTTTAATAGAATGACACAAATATCGCCAATAGCGTCTCCCCGAACGCAGCCGATAAGTGACGGTCGACGCATGCGTGGTAAATTGTGATTTGAATTTGAACGGCGCAACGAGCGTTTAGTCTTCCGTCGACTGTTATGGTGACATGAGAAATATTTGTGATTCTCGTGAGTGCGTTTTCCGATTATGACAATAAATACGAGGCTTCTTTCCTTGAAATATTTGTTAGAACCGAAAAACTGAGTCATAATGTCAGACAGCATAAAAGTGGCTATCAAAGTCAGGCCTCTCATCAGGCGAGAAAAGGATGAGAACTTATCGATACAATGGGTCACCAATGAAAACACCATTATAGCTAACGACCCTGAATACAGAAAGCGATCTGATGGTAGATTCGAGTTTGGTACGTCAATGTTATACGAAATTAGAATGAATGCAAATTTTGAAACACGTGTCCGAGGCACGTTTCATTTTTTCCGGCGTATCTTCCTCGAAAAATTATTTTTTGTATTTACATTTTCTTTCGATTTTTTTTACTTTTCCTTTTTCCTTCAATTAAAAATATTTCATTTCTTTAGATATAAAACATATACATCGTGAAGTACAACCAAAGAAGTATTCAATGTTAATTTGTATCATTGTTATGTGAGGTTATAATTTTTACCGGCCATCTTTTTATCTTTTATCCTTTGACCTTGATATAAGATTCACAAATTATGTTTACATGATGTTACATTTGCAGATCATATTTTTGATACAAACGCCAACAACAACGATGTATTTGATGTTGTAAAGCCTATTGTCAATGCTGCTGTAAATGGATTTAACGGCACAGTGTTCGCTTATGGACAGACAAGTTCTGGTAAAACTTATACCATGATGGGTACTTTGGAAGAGCCTGGCGTAGTACCTATGGCTGTCGAACATATGTTTGACGCAATAACCAACGTTCCAGGACGCGAGTTTTTATTAAGGTAGATATCTCTGTTGTGACAAAAAAATAATTTACTTAGATAAGAGAGTTTAAAATACATCTGTTCTAACAAAAGTATAATTTAATTAAATAAGAGTTTAGAACTCTCTTATCTACTTCTCAAAATTTCTATCTGTACAAGTTATAACATCAATAATGTGGATCTTAAGGTGATCCTACAAGGTCAATTTGGATTGATATTATAGAATATTGACAGTAATCTGGATTTCTTCATTCTTGAATATCAGTATTCCCTATCACAGCAATACTGTTGCTCAACAATAAAGAAATCTGGATTACCACCTGTAATAGTGTTAGTATTTGTTGATTCTGATAGTATTATTAATTTTGTAAGATCCACAAAAAGAGTACTTCAGCATTTCTGTTAGTATAGTTGCACAATTATGTAAAACTGAGCTGAAATAAGGCTATTAATAATATTTGTCAATAATATTGATTATGTAATGTTGCAAATATGTTGATATGTACCATTGGTATTACTGATTCAATATTACTGTTCAGTATTATTGGTTGTTTAAAATCCATATAAGAAGTATAGCATTTTAACAATATATAATATTTCAGGGTATCATACCTAGAGATTTATAATGAAAAAGTCAATGATCTCTTAGACAAAAACTCAATAGATTTGAAAGTACATGAAGATATAAATGGGCAAGTATTCGTAAAGTGTAAGGAAGAAGTTACAAATAGTCCAGAGCATGTTTTAGCAATAATGAACAAAGGTAATAAAAGCAGAAGAATAGGCGAAACAAACATGAATGAGCGAAGTAGCAGGAGCCATACAATATTTAGAATTGTAAGAACACCAATTTTCTTTAATACTATATGTGAGATATTAAAAAAAAAGAATTATTTATTTTATTACTCCGATAATTATTATTAGATAAAGTAATTATATATAGTAGATGTAATTTACTATGGCTGCGTTTTGTTATTCATTGCAGTACAGAAAATGTATAGTTTACACTACATATTTTATAGATTTTTAGTACTTGCAGTTAATAATGGGGTGCAGCCTATATCTAGAGAGATAATAATCCATATACCCCATAAATTTGAAAGTTGCAACACAGTAACATTATTGCAGACGATTGAAAGTCGTGAGGCTGGTGCAGGTTCAGATGGTGCGATACAAGTTTCGCAATTAAATATGGTCGATCTTGCTGGCTCAGAAAGAGCTCGTCTGACAGGTGCTACTGGAGAACGTTTCAAAGAAGGACGTCATATTAACTTATCACTTTCAACGTTGGCTTTAGTAATAAAACAGTTGAGCGAGTCACAAGACTATATAAATTTCCGAGATAGTAAATTAACAAGATTACTTCAAGCTTCTTTGGGTGGCAACGCAATGACGGTGATAATATGTGCTGTGACACCGGCTGCTCTAGATGAAACTCAATGCACATTATCGTTAGTATTTTTTCTTCTTTTTACGTTAGACCTCTGGCCTGTTACACCTCTCTCATATGCTTGTGGTGCGCACGCTGATTATTCAATTGCCACAAGCATGTGGGACCTACAGTTTTAACGCCGATTCCGAACGGCGAATTTTTCATGAGGTTTCTGTGAGCAAGGATACTCTCGGGAGATTGCTATTCTTTTCCGAGAGGAGACACGAGCGTAAATATTTTGATTCCTATCAGGATCGAACCCGGGATCTCTGGTATGACAGACCAGTGCGCTGTCTGCCATGCCATGCTCGTGCTCTAGTATTTTTGAAATTATTTAATGTGTATATTAACGTAAATTTAGTGTAACTGATTTTTTCTTTAATGAATAGGTTTGCATCTAGAGCTAGAAATATCAAAAATGATCCTAAATTGAATGAAGTTATGTCTGACGGTGTACTTTTAAAACGATACGCGAAACAAATAGATATATTACATACAGAATTAGAGGTAAGTGTATATTATAAATGTTTTATTTTGGGTTATTATGGAAAATTTTTTGATTGAATTCTTTACACAATCACACGACAAAGTCTTTTCTTGCTAATCCTTACAGTATCAGGCACAAAGCGATGCCTCATCGGTACAAGTCTGAATATCTAGAATCCATATATTTTTTAATCTATTCAAAATAGTTCAAAAAATTTCTAAAAATTCACGAACATACTTTCAACTTTCTAGAACAAATGTTTATACTTCTTTTGGAAAATAATAAAATATATGTATAATTTAATTTATCGAATTTGCAAGAAATTGCACGAACAGAAGTCGAACACTAAATACCCAGGATAGTACTGTAAGAGGGAACAAATATTTAAATCTTAAGATCTTTTCACATAATAAATTCATATTTTTAGAGAATGAAACAGCTAACTCAAACAACTGATTTTCAAGAAATGGAATCTAAAATGCAAGAGAAAGATCGCATTAACCAGAATCTAGAAGAGCGTATTAGATTATTGCAAACTCGGATAATCACCGCGGATAATCGCAATACTACAGCATCGTTCAAAACTAAAGAAAAAAGGAGACAGACTTGGTGCGGAACTGGTGGATTTAATAAATTGAATACATCTTTATTTCAAACGTTCTCGCATTTATCACCAATCAAAGAAATGTCGCCTGTCAAATCACATATTAGATACAAATCTAATACTATGGATTCATGTGCGTTAATTTTTTATACTATGCAAATTGAATATTTTGATAAACTGAATTATAAATTAAAAATATGTGTATTGTTCTTACAGCATTCCAAATAGCCTTTGCTGATTTTGAGCTGGAACTTATCAATAGTGAAGTAAATCGTTATGAAGACATTAGTAGCGATGAGGATCCATTTGTTACATATCGTGACAAACATCGCGTAAAATTTAACGATGATGTATTTATCAAATCACCTTTAAACTACAGCAATAATAGCATCACATCTGACAAAATTGAAGTGTCTACTCAAACTATAAGGTAAATACAGAAAAATTAATTTGATTTTGTTTTACAATTATTTTATCATTCTTTGTTGTAACACTAGCCAAAACTCACCTGATACACCGAAGCATACTCTACGGGACAGAATTCGTAATTTAACCGAAGAATATTCAGAGCTTAAGGAATTTACAACCTTGGAAAAGCAGCTACATTTGGAAGATCATTTATCTGAACTCCAGGAAAAACTTGCGAAATGTTCACAGTTTGAAAAGCAATTGGAAAATGTCACATCTGATAAGGACGCTTTCGAACATATAGCATCTGAACTTCGTAAGAAGTTAACTGCAGCTGAATTACGTTACACTTTAGCAGAAGATCAATTAAACACACAAGCAGCAGAGCTACAGAGAATACCAGATTTAGAAAAGAAAATTGCGCAATTGTCTACACAAGAGGTAGAGGTGCAAAACGTTCCAGATCTACACAAACAGATAACTGTTCTTACAGCTGAAAAAGATGGATATGAACATGTGGCATCTGAACTACGAAAAAAACTTAATGAAGCCGAACAACGCAATATTTTATTAGAAGATAAGTTAACACGGAATGTAGAATTAGAAATACCATTTATTCAAACTTTGTCGAATAATGAGACTATTTCATCTGAAAAAGATGAACTGCAATGTAAAATAACTGATCTTCAAAATAAACTAATAGAAACAGAGTTAAACAATAATTCAATGAAAGATAAACTGGAGGAGCAACAGCAAATGCTACAAAATCTTCAAGAAGAAAAGAATATATCTGCTTCTGAAATGCAAAGTAAATTAAGAGAAGCGGAAGAAATTAATAATTCTATAAAAGATAGATTAAACGAGCAGCAACTAGAAATTCAGAAATTTCAAGATCAAGAAAAGCAGATTGCGCAACTTAAATCTGAAAATCACAAATTTCAACTTACTGTTGATGATCTTCAAGAGCAATTAATAGAAACGAAAGTAATTGTTAGCACAAAGGAAGATCAAGTGCATAAATACCAGCAAGATTTAGATAAACTTCAACATCTAGAAGATGTTATAAAGGAACGAATGGAATTTGAACGAATCAATAATGAGTTGAGACACCAATTGACAGAAGTACAATTAATGAATGATTCAATGAAAAATAAATTAGATACACAGGAGCTATATATACAAGAGAACTGTGACTTAGAAAACCAAATTCAAATTCTTGCAATCGAGAAAAATGAATTTAAAGTTATAATTAGTGAATTAGAAGAGAAATTGAAAGAAGTAGAATTAAACAATTCACTGAAAAACAAATTAAATGAATATGAAGCAAATAAATATGAAACTCTTACATCTGAAAATAAATCTGAACAAATAATTTTCGAATTGCAAGAAAAGTTAAAGGAAGCAGAATCGTATAATAATTCAATCAAAGAAGAATTAAATGTATGTCAAGCAGAAGCGCAAAAAATGTTCGAAGAACACAGAAAATCCATTGAAAATTTTGTAGTTGAGAAAAGTAAATTGGAAGATACAGTGCGTGAACTACAAGAAAAATCGGAAGCGGAATTGGATAACAATTTAATGAAAAACAGGATAAATGAATTGCAGTTACAGAAGAATGATATGGAAAAAGAAATAGAATGTCTCACGTTGAAAACAAAAGAGTTTGAGTATACAGTTCACGAGTTAAGAGAGAAACTAGCCAATGCTCAGCATTGCATTTCAGTAGAAGATGAATCGAATGGAATACAATTACAGAAAATTCAACTGGATGCGCAAGTCTCAAATTCGATATCTGAAAGAGATGAACAAGATTCCATAAAATTGTGTCAACAATCGTTGAAGAGTCCCGGAAAGGAATTGATGGAGAATCAGAGCAAAGACGAAATTAATTATCTACAAAGTCGTATTAATGATTTGCAAAGTATTATTCAGGATATACAAAACGAAAATACGTACTTAAAAGAACAAGCAACGAAGTCAATGTCATATAATGAATCCGATTTAGATAATGGTGATTCGTCGAAAGTTACAGACGATTTATCGATTACAAAGATGTCTCTAGACGAAGATAGTGCTAAGTTGTCTGCAGATCTTGTTTTGAAAAATCAGGAATTAGATGAAATAAAGCACATTGTGCAAAGCTTGAAAGCAGACATAGAAAACTTGCAACAAACTATATATTTATTAACAACCGAGAACAGCGAATTGGCAAATAAATTAGCAACAGAAAAGGAATGCAATGAGGAATCAGTTATTTACTATCAGCAGATTATCGATGAGCTTTACGAGCGAAACTCAAAGATAATGGATGAGAAACTTGAGCTCGAAAATAATTTAACAAATCTTAATGAACAATTAGAAACTCTTCGCTCGAGGATGCCTGAGGTAAACTTAAACGAAGAGCAGATAATTCAAAAGTATGAAAAACGGATTAGTGAGTTTCAGACAAGAAATATAGAATTGTTGTCCCATCTCACAGACCAAACGAAAGAGCTCGAAATGTTGAAAGAGAGTAAGTCACTTTTGTATGAACACGATTGTATATATAAAGATAAATTAACGAATCTTACGGAGAAACATAAGCATTTAATAGCTGAAAACAGTGATCTTTCCACTAATTTAATGGATAAGATCGAGGAAAACGAAGGATTAAAACAAGAATGTAATATTCTAAAAAACAAACTAGAATTATCACTGGAAAATAAAGAGAGCATTGGTAACAATGATGTGGAGCAGCTGAGAATGGAGAATACTGTATTGAAAACCGAGCTAATGGAATTCAAAACTAACTTAAAAGCTTTAACTGAAGAAAACTCGAAAATATCCAGTCAATTAATAGAAACTATAGAAGATCTAGATAATGCACGAAAACTCAATTCTTGCAACAATACCATGCATTTGTCGACATTATTTAATAATACCTTGATGAACGATGCAATGGATAAATCTACATTAAATGATGATGCTGAAACAAAAATCGTAAATTTGCAAGAGGAAGTTAATCATCTCACAAATCTCAATAGAAAGCTGAGCGATCTAAAATTAGGTACCTGTACACAGTGTAGCCACTTGAACGAGTTAAACGAAAATCGAAGAATGCTGAAACTCGAAGTAAAGACTCTTAATCGCAAATTGGAAAACTTGCAGAGGAAATTCTCCAGCAAATCTGCAAAGAGTGATGCGCTCATATTGAAGGCCAAAGAAGATTTAAATGTAAGTGCGTGTAATTTATCTCTTAATGCCAGTTTTTCGGAGAACATGAATGTCACCTGCGTTGAGGAAAGACTTCAATCTCTAAATAACGAATTACAAATTTTGAAAGAAGATCATAATACGTTATCGGATTTATACAAAGAGAAATGTAATGAAGTCGAAGAATTACAGAATAGCACCATGGATTCAACATCGACTGATGATAAGAATTCCAGCATAAAGAAATCCCCAAGTAGAACTTCATTAAGACTAGAAAATATCGTGAAAGTTATGAACGATTTGCAAAATGATTTCAAGACGATAAAGGAGAACAACGAAAGTATCAAGTCAGATCTTACAAAGTTCATCAACGAAAAAGAAAGAATGCTATTGGATGAAATTAATACTTTGAAGACTATTAATGAAGAATTGTTGCAGAAATTGTCGGAAAGTGAACTCTTGCATGCTACTACGTTGGAAAAAGCTGATATTCTTGAAAATGAGATACAAGATATGACAAAAAAGTTACAGGAGTTTACTGTAAGGTACAAAGAAATTGAAAATGCAAAGTTGCTTCTTGAGGTTGAAGTAGATAGCTTGAAGGAAGACAAATTGATGAAAGAGCAAATAGCAAATGAATTACGTCAAAGCCATTCCTGCCTAGAACAGGAATTAAATTTAACAAAGAAAGAGAAAGAGGTACTTAACAACGACATCATTCTTTTGGAACAAGAATATAATGAAAAACTAGATTCACTAAAAGCAATGAATGACAAGTTAACCAGCTCTAAAGCAGCTCTCTCGCAGGAATTAGCTAATTATATTAAAGAATCGGAAAATAGACTGTCGGAACTTAATGAAAAAATAAACAAATGCAATTCCGAAAACGATTACCTAAAACAGGAACTGATCAGGCTGCGCGACATAGAAAATAAATTTGAGAAGATGAAAACTGAATATCAGTCTCAGTCACAGCAAGATAAAACATTAGCTGACGATAACAAGAAGCTCAAAAATATATTGAATGACACTTCTAAGAACATCATTAAGGAAATAAAGTCTCTCGAACCTAAAGTCGATACTCAGAAATTTGTGGATAAATCGGTGGATGAGCTGTTCCAAATATTTATGCAAACTATTTTGATGAAAGAAAAAGAAGTGATAAAAACTATGCAGGAAAATTTCAATAAGGAGAAGCAAAAGCTCGAAGATGAAAAGCGGCAGAGGGTAGACTCGGAGAAACGTACATTGCTGTGGGTGAAAGAACTGGAGTGTGAGATAGAGAAACTTCAAAAGGACCTGTCTGAGCGAGAAATTGCATCCAAGGACTTACAGAAAGAAATTACACGTTTAGGACACCTTTTGGAAGAAAGTAATCGCGATAGAGAGGTATTGAGAGAGAAGAATAGCCTACTTGAGACGGATCTCAACAATTTACAAATTGAATATAATAAATATTCTAAGATCGACACGGTGAATGAAGAAGCCATTATTACAGCACAGAAACGAGAAAAGCAAGCGCAAGAGACGATCAAAAATAAAGAATCAGAATTTCAGAGGCAGTTGAAATCAGAAAAGGAGGCGTACAATAAACGAATCGAAGATCTCACATGCACGATAGAGTCGTTTAAGACGAAAAACATGGAACTTACAAATAGCATTGAAGGCCTCGAAGCTAATCAGAAGCAACTGAAGAATATCACTGACTTGAAAAGTAACGAATTAATGAAAAGCAATCAAATCAGTCAGAAAATGCAGGCCGAGCTGGAGCAGTTGACGGAAACTTACAACGATTTGCATAAAGAATTGGAAGAGAAAGAGTTGTGTATCACAGAAATCAAGGAACTTCTGAAAACTAAGTGCGATGAGCTGACAGAGTATAAAATTAATCTGGAGACGATCGTGCCCGAAAACAAGCGGCTGAAACAACAGATTAGCGAGCGGAAAGCCAACATAGAGCAGTACAAGGTGGAAATAGAGACCTTGAAAATGGAAAATAAAAAGGAGATCGATGCGATTAAAGATCAATTGAATTTTGAACAGCTAAAGAACACGGAGCTAAACAAGCAGATAACTGAATTAAATAATAAGCACATGACTTTGACAGAAGAGATGAACGCTTTGAGGAACGATTACACGATGTTAAAACATAAGTGCGCGACATTAGAAAAGCGAGTCAGGAACAGTACGAGCAAAGTCCAAGCGGAAGAACAAATGGAAGAACTGAAAGACTTGAACAGGTCTTTGCGGAATAATTTAGACGGTGCTAGCAATCGAATAACGGAGTTGCAGGCTGTGAAAACCGATCTGATGAAGCAAGTGATTACTTTAAGCAGTCAACATGATGCGGCGTGCAAAGACAATCAAAAATTAAAGGAAACACTGTCGTCCAGACATAACAATGCATATACTGCTTGCGAGAAGTATGACAATTTGCTACAAGAGAAAAACAAAATTGCATTAGAATTGGAAGCGACGAAAGTTCAGTTGAATCAAAAAAACAAGGACATCGAGAATTATCTCCACGAGATAAAGGAGTGGAAGGAAAAAAATGTGGAACTCGATAAAGAATTAGACGAGTTGGCGGCTGTTATTTGCGAGCACGACGCTGAGAATGCGAGGCTTCAGGACAAGTATTTCACATGTCGCGCTGAAGCTGACGAGTTACAGGACAAAATCAAAACTTTTGAAAAGAGAGATCAGAATAATTTGTTGCAATCTACGCAAACGAACATGTCCTCCGAAAGGTCTCACAATGATGAATGTAGTTGCGCGACGTTGAAAAACAAAATACGGGAGTTGCAGTTAGAGGTAGTATCAAAGAATGGAAAGGTTGCGACGTTAGAACTGCAAATACGTAGCGGAAGTTTCCCTTATCAAATGAAGTGCAAAGAACTACAGGAACACCTATCAGCATATACTAACAAGGTACTTGGTCATATTTTAATTATTATCAAGTTTATTATTATTGTAAATATAAATGTAATTTCATAAATACGCATTGTTTTTACAGAATAGCGAGCTGAAAGCGGAAATTAAGCGATTACAGATAGCTATGATACGTACAAGCGCGAAAGAATGTGATGTATGCAAACAGAAACTCATAAATAGGAGACATCAAGCATGCCAGACAATGCCGGAAATGTTGAAATTTTGTGGCACGAGCAGCGGCGTAATTGATGTAAGTATATGCCAGTTTTTCAGAATTGGAGCCTTTAATGGGATTTGAAAATAAAAAAAGAAGAATATGCAAAAATGCAAGAACAATTTTGTCTCATTGATTGCTCTAGTTAAACCTTAGTATCATTATTATTAATTTATAAATTATATCTTATATGTATAATAGTAATTAATGATATAATTTTATACAGGACGAGATAAGAATAACGAAATTGGAGAAAGAGAAACAGATTATGAGGGACGTGTGTCGAACTAGATCGAAGACTATAAAGGAACTCGAGAAGCAAATAGAAGAATACCAAAAATTGTTAAATTCCAAAAGTTCATGATCTACGAGAACATTTCGTCGCGTTGCCCTGTATTGACATTGATTACTACATATATTTAATTACTATGTATATATGTAATCTGTGGCCTTTTATCACATGGTATTTAACAATAATTTAATTTAAAGTTTGCGTAACATATAGAGCATATAAAATGTAAATATCGCAATTTTTAATTTTAAGATAATACAATAATAATTTCATATTTTTGTAGTGCGGAGAACTATGTGAACTCTGTTACTTATTTTATACATCGACTACAGATGATAACGGTATATTTTTTTGCTAATTTTACACGTATTTGCCAGTTTAAGAAAATATAATTCCTGTGATATACATATAATGAGATATAACTTGATCAGAATATAGAGTGTGTATATATATAAAAATATATGACCGAGATAAATCAGTAATATAGATACTATAAATTAAATTTTATCCGCTGTTTACATTGTGCCTTCTAATTTTTTACGTGATATTTATTATTCTATCTTATTATATGTAGTTTTAAAAATAATAATATAGTTATGATATCACTTTTTAAATAAAACACAACGCTGAGAAAGAGAGGCTTCAAGACAAGTATTTCTCATGTCGCGTTTTCCATTATACACGCTTGCCATGCATGTTACATATAGCCACATAGTTTTCTTACTTCTTTATATGGGACCTACAGTTTAACGCCAGATCCGAACGGCGCTGATGATTAAAGATCTCTTCTTACATCAAATGGAATCATTTTCGACTCCTTATGCTAGAGTCCCACGAGACGTATTTGCCGCGTATCGCGTAACCGCATAATTAATAACAACAGCGGATCGCTTCTATTGGTTACGCGATACGTGGCAAATACCTCATGGACAATGGGACTCTTGCATTAAACGCGAAAAATCGCGTATGTGAGCGCAGGTGGGATTGAACCCGGATTTACAGATCGCGAGTCAATCGCACCGACCAACAAGCCACTCAACGCCTCAGACAAGTAAAGCTATATGTTGATTTATGTAAAAATTACGCAGTCTCTAAATATAGAGTAAAAATGTATGAAATTAAATTTATATTGCAGAATAGAAATCTTGGTGAAGAAATAATTATGTTATATTGAATTATACAAAATAATATGACAATCGAATTATTAAATAATAAAATTTTTATGACAAAAAATAGAACGTTTAAGTTGTTCGGTTTAGCAATTACATGTTATTGAATTTCTCTTTATGTAATTAAAATTAATAAATATTTGCTTAAATAATGTAAAAAGTAAAAATTCGTACAAAACGTTCCTTGTACAAATGGCAGTATAATAAACAATTTTCTTAATTGTACAGTTATATGACTTCCTTTCTTCCCTATGTATTTTTCTTCATTTTTAGTGGAGATACTCTGATAGATTAAAATTCTCTGGCCGAACTGAATAGTGCTTTCGTTTATATATCTAATAGGATGTTTCGCAAAAATGTGTTGACATTTGTACGTGTAATACAACATTTTATTTCCAAGATATTTTAGTTATTGACAATTATTTAATATTACCCTAAGATTTGTCGAGTTTTGCTTTCTTCGGCTTGTATCTCATTATGTGCTTATGTGGCCTTTTTGTACCAGTTTTTGTTTGGAATAAATCTAAAATAGAAAATCACATTGTTTAGTATCAAATTAAATATCTCTAAATATATTTAAAATATTAAATTCTAAACATATTTATACCTTTATCAGGCTCTTCTCCTACTTCTTCGCGATAATACTGTGCATCGTCATCTTCCTCCAGTTTACTCTTTTCAATAGATTCCTTCGCAATTTTTTGTAGGAGCATATCATTTTCTCTCTTCTTCTGAATTCCTTTCAATGATTTCTGTTTATGTTCTTGCTTTTGTGCTTCTTTCTTTTTCTTATTTTCTTCCTGAAATCTTTTTCTTTTTTCCTTCAATTTCTTCTTTTCTTCTCTTCTTTTCTTTATTGCAAGTTTCTCCTGTTCGGTTTTATGTATAAATTCATGATAAAGTACTTCACCATCGAGGAGTCCGTTCTCCACTTTGATTAACTAAACACATACGGTTAACGTTAGAAAGATATTAGAAAATACCTATAAATTTATTACTTGTATTAATCTTAATTAATTTTTTAACCTGCAATGTTATTCTCGGTCCCAATTCGAATAATTTAATCGCACTTTTAGAATTAACCTGATTTCCTCTTGAAGACAATTTTTGTGATAACATGACATGACTACTTTCATCATCTTCTGCTTCACTTTCAGACATGATCGGTTTTGTTAAAAAATCCGAAATATCTTGACATTTAGATAAATTCGGTACTTTAGCTTGCACTAATTTTTTTATGCCTCTTGATAAACCTACAGGTACCACTTTGATCGCATAATGTCTGAAGTCAATGGTTTTAGACGTCATATTATAATTCAAGCATATACAACGACGGATTGTGCTCAAATTAATCTATAAAAATATTTTAACAAATTAATAATTCTTTTTAATTATTAACCGTTTTAAATTGCGTTTCTTAAATTGACTTGTTTCACAAAACTTACAGTAGTCAAGTTTATAGTTGGAAACATATTCTGGAAAGTAGAAGCTATAAGTTTTAGTTGCATGCCTTCCCCACTGAAATTATTTAAAACCAATAGAGGAGAACTTTGGAAGGCTTCCTCATATACCAGCTGCTTCTTTAACATAGATATAACATCTCGTGTCAAGGAGAAACTATGTATCTTGAAAGTAAGTGTAGGTCCTCTAGGCAACCTATAATAATATTTAAGATTATTCAATAAATCGATTTGTGAATTAATTAAAATAATTGTCTTATTGATAATAAGGATAAAAAAGTTTTCTTATTGATAAATTTTATTAAAACAAATACAGTACTTGCAAAGCTTAAGGTACATTCCCAGTTCCGTTTTTGTAAATATGCACATGTGACTAACATGCAGCACACTAGCGATAGAGACAAAGTCTTTAATAGTATTTTTCTTTCGAATTTTCAAGGATGAAGCTGTAAAAGGTTCCATAACTTTGCGAAAATCTTTAGTAAGATCAACGATATGATCTCCTGGCAACCCACGATGGAATACAAAGGAATGAGGTGCTTTCACCAACTCTTCCTTCTCTCCCACATTTATTTGCTTATTTCGCTTCACACATCGGCCCTAGATAAAACATTTATTTTAATTAGAAAACTAAACTGTCTTTAGTTAGTATATTATTCTTACAGCAAAGTTGTTACGGTTATGTATGTATAAATTGTTCAATAATTTTTATATTAAATTAACAATAATCTTATTGTGTGTGTGTGTGAACGGTTTTTTTAGTTGCTAATTTATATTATATTTTATTTGTATAATTGTGTTTGTAAATATCAAAAACAATACCTTTCTTTTATGACCCATTTTCAGGTTAAGTTATTAGGTTAGAATCCTTAAACCTTTTAGATTAAAACCAGAATTCACGTGATGAAGGCTCAATGTCAGATGAACTTCACATAAATAAAAATTCTAGATTTAGACATAAAGAGACAATAACTTACTTTCTTATTTTAAATATAAAATAATATCTTTTCTCTTGATCACTTTTTCAAGCGCTACTCTACACGCGTCACGTTTCCCACCCACGTGTTTTTAGTACGAACAAAAGTTATTATAAATCATAAATTAGAAATTAGAAACACGCTTTAATTTTCAGAAAAATAAAATATATTAAAAAATCTTTTTTTTTGATAAATGGAAAATTAAAAATCGATAATGTTTATAATTTAAAATTAAAAAAAAATTTTTAGTCGGCAGTCGATAAATTATCCAGTCCATCATTACCTGTATAGTTAATAACTTTATCAGCTGCAGTTAATTATTACCCCCATCACGTATATATAATCTCTAATATAATTATCGACATTGTGCGTGTGTGTGTGTGTATGTGTGTGTGTAGAGAGAGAGAGAGAGAGAGAGAGAGAGAGTGAGTATTATAATATTATTATTCCAATTGTGTAATTATTCAATTATGTAACCTGTAAAAATTTTAAATTTTAAAAATTGATAACGTATCAAAGGATCCCGCAACACACTTTATACGAAGGACATGCTGTATTTCGATATTTTGTATAACTTTTCAAATAACATGCATATTGCACAAAATATCTAAAAGACGTCTTTAAACATCTTTTCCAGATAGCGCAAAAAGAATTCAGTCGTATGTCATCAATTCCGAGTTCATTTTTAGATACAAAAAGAATTCTTTTCAGAATTGTTTAAAAAAAGAATTCTTTTTATATCTGAAAATGAATTCTAAATTGATGACATTAACAACTGAATTCTTTTTGAATTCTTTTTGAACTCTCTGTGTTATCTGGATTTAGACATTTAAAAGATGTCTTTTAGATATCTTATGCAACATAAATGTTGCATAAGATATTGTTATTCTTTTCCTAAAAATAGAAAAAAAAAACAAGTACAGATAACACAACAGAAACTATTAAGAGAGCACAGCAAATGACAAGAAAAACAATAAAATTACAGTATAAACATCTTTATTTTTAAATATATAATAATTATTTGAATCTATAAGTATACTACATAAAAATGTATGTAGAATAATATGTACGTATGTCTGTCATTGAAGAAAACGATAGAAAATATATAATGCAAATAAGTAAATATTTTTTGATATTTTTTAGAACGAAAACAGATAATACTTATCTACAGAATATATGCAGGACCAATAAAAGACTGGCATCCTACTAAAAGCATTCATGAAAAGTTCGATTTATATTCTCAATGTGCATATTTCGGAAGAATAAAAGAACTTTTACAGAATGTTCAAATTATAATAAAACGTTCAGAATATTGTATCAACATTCTTGTACATATCACGAAAATCACTTGCAAACAGTACCTAGTGAGAAATGACAATGGAATCGACATCCATTCGACGTCGATTCCAGAGAGATGCATTAATTTATAAATAAGAATCACATGGAAAAGAATAAGCGCAACATAGTAAATCTGTTAAAAGTATATTAATCGCCTAAAAAGACAAAACATTATCCATTTCAAAAAATTTGAAATAGATTTTGAAATGGATGAAGTTTCAAGCTACACTTTAAATACTAATCAAATATAATCACTATAAGTAACGTAATATATTAAACGGCATAAAAATCGAAGGGCACATTATAATTTCAAATCTTTGCCATAAAAATCATCGTTCCTCTTTGGCTATCCATACTAGCAAGACTGAGTATTACGCCAACGTGACATACGTGCACAGATTACGATACATGAATATTTAGATATGTGATGCGCATGTCTCGGGTACATTATAATTGGTGCAACTTTATGTGCGCGAGATATTCATGATTCCGAATGTAATATAAACATACATCAAAGTGAATAAGAATTTCATTACGCTTGAATGTAATGTAAGGAGCATGATAACGTGGGATCTTATGAATTGAATACGTGATTTCTTTAACGTTCATGCTTTTAAGAAAGAATTTCACGAAGCAAGAGTGCGACGATTATATCCTGAACATTATTCCAAATTTTTAGTAATCATTGCATTTATTTAATATTATATTTCTCGTATATTTTATTCCCTTTTATATTCTCATCGATTTAAAGCTTTACTTCAGGAGATTCATTGATATCATTTTATTATTTTTATTGATGCGAGATAAGATTTGCGCTTGTTTTCGTCAACCCAGCAAGAAACCATCAATTATGTCCATTTATATTAATACAATTTAATTTTAATCTCGGTTCAACTAATTCTTCTTCTTTTTCTAGTTCTAAGAATTAGAAAAAAGATGAAGGATAAGTTGAATCGAGATTAAAATTAATTTGCATTAGTAGAAACGAGCATTAGATATAAATAATCGATATTACACCGTTGACTGATCGACATCAATTCAATGAGTTTCTTCGCTGGGAATATAGATTAACTTTAATCTCGGTTCAACTTGCTCTTCATCTTTTTCTATTTCATAAAACTAAAAACAAATGAAGAGTATGTTAAACCGAGATTAAAGTTAATTTACATTGGTGGAAATAGATATTAGACAAAAAAACGAGAAGAAATTAAAGGCATGATAAAATCATTTTGTACAAAACTATAGATGTGACAAAAAAATATTATTGCATGATAACGTCGGATTAGCAACCGTTTAAATGCGTGAGACGTGCCATGAAGAAGTCAAATCGATCGGTAGATAGAAGAACCATTTAATTAACATACATTATACAAGATAACAAGAAAAAAGTTAATCTTGAACTTCTCGGACGGCGCGGCGGATTAAGCGGCGGCCGCAATAAACAAATTACGATAAAACGCTTCCCTTCTCACTGTATTATGAATACTACACAAG